CTTCTTTGAAAAAACATCAACAGAATACTTACAAGTCTCCATTAATAAATCAATGTTATCAAACGTCAATGTTTTACGTAGGAAGCGTTGCTCGATCTCTGTAAATACTCCCACTGGCATACATTAAAAATATATCGTAGATCGTGGGTCGGTACAAAATCAATTTGGTGACCACTATGAGCGGCGAGAGGGTTAACTCGGTGCGCAAATATTGGCCGTCCCATCGACGGCACGTTACGTGTCGTGTCCGTGCCGTGTCCGTGTGCCGCCGCGGAGAATTTACCGGTCATCGGAAATGTATGGAATTTTACCAAAAATCGTTTTGATTGGTCGGTACTACAACTACCAACGACGTGATTGAGTAACACTGTGGTTACCGAGATTTCATTAGTAAATATGTAAATAACGTTATTCCAAATATTTATTCAATGAGAATTCTATCTAATATAGTGGTTAGGTAAAAATGCTCTTTTTTAATTATGATTTACTTAAATTAGTTCACAATAAAGATAATTTTTAAATATATAGATACTCATCATCATCATTATCATCAGCCTATAAGTGCCCACTGCTGAGCAAAAGGCCTCTTCTCTTACGGAGAAGGTTAGATCATTGATCACCACGCTTGCTCAGTGCGGGTTGGCGATTTCAAACTTATAATTAGAAATTATAAGTCCAGGTTTCCTCACGATGTTTACCTTCACCGTATGTCAGTGGTGTCTTAATAATCATAGAAAATACATATAACTCGGAAAATTCACATTGGTACTTGCCAGGTTTCGAACCCACACCCTCATATAGATGCTACTCAGGCAAAATTATAATTTTATCTACACAAAATTCAACAAAGTACAGAATTTTTTTATAAACATTTTTCAATACATAAGTTTCAGTCAACATCAGCATGGTAATTGTGTGTTTGCATGTGTGTGTGTGTGTGTGTGTGTGTGTTGTGTAAAAGTGAATTTTCCCGATAATATTGGAGCGGCCATGTTTGTGCTAAACAAACGGAAGTCCGGAACGTATTCAACTACTTTATAAATACGTAGACAAAAATAAATAGAGCATGCGTAATAAATGCAAAAGGGCTGAGTCGATGCATTGAATGGGTACAAGCCACGAGCGACAGCTGGATGCTTGCAAGACAAACCAAGGACATATAAACATTGCAATCAACAAAGCTTATATATTTTGATTTGTATGACCTTTACTTGTTTCATTTTAAAATCTAAACTAAGTAAAATGTGTTATTTTCGCACTTAACACATCAAATGGGTACCTCACGACAACCTAGGCAAGATTTATGGGGGTGATCTAAATACTTTTTATGGGTATTTTCTCGTCCAAGAGCTCTCACTTAATGTACGGCGATGGGACGGCTGACTCGAGTTATGGCCTGAACGTCGTCCATAATAGATTGAAATTGTCACTTTTATTGATGGGCCCTTTTCAATTTTATATTATCAACCGATTGAGGACAGGTAAATGGAAATTGAATGACCGGGAATGGTAATAGAATGGTCCAGATATTAATGATCTTATTAAGTGGGCTTTAATGTAGTGTAATGTTCAGGTCGTGAATATAATTATTTACACAGACGTTTCACGTTAGCGGAGCATCAGTTTAATTGCGGCGGGTCTCCCCGGTCCCTAATATAAATTTTACAAGCGAATGCATTAAATCGTACAAAGAAAATCCCACAAAGTGAGCTCGGAGTCCGGCTCGTTCCAATTATTCATCCACATCGATGGCTTCTTATTGTTCGACTATTTGGAAACGACAATTTCATACGCTGACAGTTTAAACCGTTTATTAAAAATGTAAAACCCGAACACGAGTTGTCGGCTCTATAATGAACATTTGTGAATTCAAAGTTTGTTAATTATTGCTTCCCTGCTGTTCGCGCCGTACGACCGAGTAGTGAGTGCCGGACATTACTTTTGCTGTTATTTATTCAATGACATGTATATTTGGGTATTTTTTTATTCTTGTTCAATGGTATAATTGTGTCAAGTATAGATTATAGCTGTCATTTACTTACAATGAAATAAAAACAAGCGTTCTTTGATAGGAAGGTTCGTCATACCAACGAGCTTCGAGATGGAACAAGATCTACTAAATACAGCCATCATTTCTAATGAACTTTTTAATCGAATTAATGATTGTAACATATATAATACATATACACTTTTTTGAAGGCATAATATCGTAGTCCTTGGTGAGTTATATATTTGTAAGATGCGATGCGCTATTAAACGAACGATTCAATTTGTGATCGATGAGCGAACTTAGGTCGGCGTCACCGCAGATCGAATTATCGAGACGCCCGATATCATTAACTTATGACGAGCTTCTCAAAGACTCCAGAACCTATTTAAACTTAAGTGAATTCTTATAAGTAACTACATCGCTAAGTACACACACACCTTACTCAGTTAACTTGTATACAAAGACTGGTTTAAAATTCTGTGTTGAAATAAGAGAAGCACATGTCTGCTTATCAAACCTGCATTCATTCAGGATGTAAATTCAGTAGAAATATCAATGCGTACAAATTGTAAAGCGTTCCCGGCGTGTGACTCGACGTCAGACGCTCACTTTGACGCGTCGCCTAACTACTTTAATGCGAATTACGTTCGTTGACGCTTTCAACACGTGATTTACAAAAGAAATATTGTGTCTGGCAAAAGACATGTGGAAGTCCACATGTCTTTTGCCATATGACTGTCTCTTTTTCATATATCGTAGAGCACAGCACCGGTGTTTGTGTAACGAAATTTAAAAACAATCCCCACGAGACGCGCGCACCAATTTATTTTGTTGTCTACGAGATTGTTTCACCACTCTCTTTGTACAGCAGACGGCGTAATGTATGAGAGCCGGCGGCTCCTCGCTGTCATTAAAAACTTTAATCACACGCTTCTCTGCTCAATTAAGACCTTTAACACAACTTATGTATAGATGAAATAAATTACACTGATTCAGTTTAAGCCAATTTCACACGGCTTATTTTTACAAATATATAAAGCTACTTATTGCTGTACAATTCAAATGAACCAGTCGGAAAAAACAGTATTCATATGAATTCTCTCGGAGTATCGGCCCAAGTTGTTGATAATGTTTTCATGAGTGCCCGCTGCACTGTCCTGCCAGTACCAGCCCCCTCGGCTTGTTGAACAACGAAATCATAACTCCGGCCGCACTCGAGCGGATTGAAAGCACAGATAACGTTGACATCTCCGGCTGCCACCTGATAAAGCCCCGACGGGTCCCCACTTACTTATGTGCCAGATTTTTCACATTTTCATACATTTTTGTCGAAACGAACGCTTTGCAAACGTCTGCAACTTTCATTTTAGTAATGAGAATGACCTTGAATCGGATTTTTTCTTGCCGAGCACAAATCACAAAATTAAAATACACGGAAAGTATCTGACCATTTTTATTTCAATTATTAAAATTTAATTCATACTTGCACATAGCGGTAAGCACGCTCAAAATTAGTGTACATTTAATATCATCGTACCTGCACGAATATTAGCAAAGTTTCCGAGTCCCATGTTGGGCGCCAGTCACTTTGTCATCGTTTTATGCGCAGGAATGCTCCAATAACAAATTACATGTTGAATTTTGAAAACTACCTTGCAAATTTATATGTAAGGCCTTAATACGAAAATAATGAGAGTGTCCTAGAGCGAAGCGCTGGTCCCACGTTGGGCGCCATTACTTCTCGTTCTTACATTATTATGGCGCAATATGAGTTACGTTGCCGCCGGTACTTATTCCTCATTTATTGGACTGACTTGTTTCTGTTCCCGTCCTCGTTGTTTTTCATTTTTGTATTGCAATTCCTCGGAAGCTGCATTAATTTTGTAACAACATACATGACATATTTGTTTGTACTCGTGCAAAAAAGATGATAACTTCTCAGTAACTCGAATCGTTATTACTCTATTTAAGACAACAGTCCTTATTTCTTGAAAGAGATTTTCTAGAGGAGTATTTCCTGAGGAAGGGGGACGGGGAGGTTCAGTCTGGCGCGAAACGACACTCGGAAATTAGGTGCTCTATTACTGTCCTTATCTCGGCCACCTGAGAGCCCACAACACTCCGCCACAGATATAAACTGCCTTATAAATACCACGCGCATTGCGAATCGACCCCAATTAAGGTCAATGATTACAAGGTATCGTCAAGCAGGTCTCGTTTACACCTGGCAATTTCTTGGATTAATGTAATGAGAAACACCTTCTGTAGTAAAGCAAGTTCTTGTAACTGTGTTATAATTACTACTCTCTGTTAGGTCTCTTAATTTGATGAAAATAGGATACCTGAGCAGGACCTCCTCAGCGAATTGTATCATTATCTTGATGAATAAATTATAAAAGTGTCAGAATTAACAGCTTCTGAATTACAACCAGAGGCTATAAATAGTCATTTGCTAAGTACCTTCTGTTTAATCTTCCCTTCGGCACAGAGATATAAATTAAAAGAAATAAACTCTTTAAACACAGTGTATTTATTTTGGCGCGGTTGGAAATCACGGCGATATCGCGCCGCGTGCCGGCAGCGAACAATCGCACATAAATTAGGATCCTTGCTAGCGACGCGAGACTGTGCAGCCGCGGCGCGAGCCACGAGCGGAACGACTCTTTGTATTATACCTCGGTTTGAAATATAAGCTATCCCTAAAAAGTATCCATTGTTATGGAATTAATGCTCAGGTCTAGAGAAACTTCATAAATATCATGAGGTTTATTAATCTGAAGTTCTATTCCTGACCATTGTCACGGTTTCAACAACATCAGCAATCGGTTTGCGAAGACGTCTGCCGACCCACAATGTGCACTTATCTTTTACGGCTGCATTTACGACGAGCACGATAACCCGCTCACACTTTATGACTTTATTTTATTTCTCCATCTGTTTGTACACAACATATTATAGTATATCACTTCGCTGTGAGAAAGGCAAGTGTCATACTTGTTCTTCTAAGATGTCATTCGCTGGAAGCGAAGGTGAGTGTAATAGCTCCGCAGCTACTTGTTATTTCACACGTCGAGCGGAAACTTGACGCCGTCAAGTCCAACACATTAAAGTCATCTGAAAGACTAAATGACAGCAATAACCCTTCGCCCTTGGACCAGCTGGTAATAACGAGTGCAGGCCGGAAGTGCGTCGGCGCGGAAGCTGGTAACGCTTCCCGCGTTTCCAGAACATCCGCCAACATGGCGGAGGCTCGCAGTGCGCCGCCCTCGGGCTTTTGCTTCGAAAATTCTGTCAATGTGTTCGGAATTTTGTGCTTCTATAAATTTTAAATCCAGGGCAGCTAAACTTTTAAAAAATCGCAATCTAAACGGAAATTTGTGTTTTAGTCTTGCTTCCTTTCTAACGCAACCATAAACTAAACCCGTTAACCTGGTGCTGGTGGCAATCTATTTAGCCGCGCTGCGCTACACCACGATACGGTGTCATTTATTTAAGGAACCAATCTTGTGGCTCGTTAGAAGCAAAATATTGAAAACTTGGCTTCGGTGGAAACTGACTCCTGAAAATGATAATTAGGAGAAATTAATACAGAATGCTGACATGTGCTGACTGGAGACTCAGATAGCGGGGTGATAGTCCTCCGGCTTCGCCACCTGTGGCTCCTTAATGTTGATACTGCTCATTTATCAGGACGTCGAGTGCCGCACCGTACTCTGCCGCGAGCTTCACTTACGAGAAAACTTATAATTTGAAATAAGTTTGGTATCTTACATCGATTTTTTTATTGGAAATTCTCATGATTTTTTTATCATTTCAATGTCAATACCACGCACCCCATATCTAACTGTCAACCCGATTTCCAAAAAAAAAAATTAGATTTAGGTGCCGAATTTAATGATTTTTTGTTCGTCACACAAAATTAGTGACAGAACTGAATTTCTATTGCGATGGCCTCAGGCTGCGGATGCCGAGAGCCTGAGGGAAAGCTTGCGCATGGCTAAAATGTTCACACTTCATAATATGTTAGTGTCGCAATTCAAGCAATTCAAGAAGCATGCACTGCCAATATATCATTTTTTTTTTGTTTTTGAGTCAGAGAAAATAACCTAAGTAACGCGTTAGAATTTGACTTACTTAATTCCTTACAAAAAATGTCCTCAATCAAGTCAAAGAAACGCTTAGAAACAAATTCGGTCCTTGAAACAAACCCAAGAGTGGCGAGGGTCATTAATGCGCATAAAGGAGGATTCAATAGGCGAGGAGTGAGGCGCTGGGAAGGACGCCTCGCCATTAACTGCAAAGTGGTAATTAGAGACTCCGGTTGCGATTCTTATCGCTGACCGCTGCAGGAGTTCCACTTAAATGGATTATTCAATCGAGGGATATAATTAGGGACTGTTTTCGAAGACAAACTTTTCACAATGTCGCTTTCTTGTTAAAGACTAGGGGATGAAAAATGTTTGTGAGAAATTGTTTTATAAGTTAAAGTGATGCGTGGGTGTAACAGTGACCAACTTACTTGGGAATTCTTTATGAAGAAATATTTTTAGCTCGCCGTTAACGCTCACTGTTAAGTAAATTACCAATGTTCTCACCTCACTTAAAAAATATGGTGATTGTTGGTGATGTTGCTTATAAGTTTAAGTGCCAGGCTTCAATACAAATGGACCGTAGCTACCGGAGAGATACCAGGGCCTCATATAAAACCTGCGTGAATCAACTACAGCGTTGTATTTCGCCGTGTGAGTGGGGTTACCGAAGGCCTAACCCTTCCACTCCCCCTTCCCTCTCCAATATTATATATCTCAAAATTTCTTATTTCTAAAAGGCCGACGACAATAATAACTCCTGTGGTGTTGCGGGAGTCCATGGACGGCGCTGATTGCTTACTATAAGGTAATCCGTGTGCTCGTTAGTCACCGTATGGCATTAAATTGTGGGAAACAGATAATATATTAGTAACTGATGTAATAAAATCACCCAAACACGACGTAAACACGCAATAAAAACTTTGATGTCTCACTCGTAAACCATTTAACGTGACGAACATTTGTTCTCTGACGTTCCGGGACTTTCACAACAGTATTAACGACCAAACAATCGGACGAGCGATAAAAAGATTTAAACTCTACCCCTTCCTTCACATCAAAACACAATCTTTGTGATCACAACCCCCCAATGTAAAAGACCAGCCAAAGTATTAATCACATTTACAAAATTCCGGATCGCCTGACAATAGGAAAGCCTTTGGTGTTGATTTAAGAATTTGCATGGATCTGAAACTATATATAGTTTTCCCTTAATTTCCATAAGTTGATATTCCAGTACCAACATTTATCAACAACCCTTATTCAAATGCACATTGCTAGATTGATACTACCAACTTACTAAAATCTCACTTTTCAAATTCAATTTACATGTACACCGCATTCAAAGGACCACATAAAGTCAACTAAACCGTTCACACTCCTTTAAACATAAATAAAACTACTCCGAGTCTCGCTCATCAAAATCGACAACCCTAGCTAGGTACAGGGTTACAGAAATATAGACCCTAAAGTTACACCGCGAAGGTTTATTCAACTTGTAAGTGGTAGTTGTGTAGTAGGGTTGTGACGCTCGTCAATCCGCGCCCGTTCATTCGTTCACATTGAGTCGTTCATCGGTCTGTTGAATAAAAGATGGCGATGGTCCCGGCAAGCTAACGAGCCAGCAAAATGGCGGTGTTAAGGTAAATAGACACTACTTACATTGATACGCGCCTTATTCAATTAATGACCGAGTTAGTTTGTGTTTAGATAACTAGCTGGGGACACGGGCCGCTACATTGCACTAATTCGTTAATTGGAACCACTATATTAATCAACGGCCCTTGATTGGCTGTTGATGTAGTACAATATTCATACAACTTACAGTTGCTGAATACGTCATGTATACGCGGTAGGAGTACATCTCTAGGGCTGGCTGGAATTGTGTCAGTATCATCTCTAATTTACTCGAAATAAACAGTTTTCCTTGAGTCGGAGCTGCAAGCCACCAATTTAGCCGGCCATGTGTCATAATTGTGTACCGCATTACAGAGTTTATTGCTTTCATGTCGGTACGTGAGCTCGCGTACGTGTGTCGGGTACGTTTCATTATGTCAGGTAACCACGATTGATATGTATTAGTAATGTTTTTTCTTCAGCGCCAATTTCGTTTTGGCTGCTCTATTTTCCCCTTATTTCTTGAGGAAATTCTGCTGTAATGTGATATAAGGTGTAACAACAGTGTTCCCACTTAAGAAACAACCTACGAGCTACAATGTGGTTTTACAATATTTCTTAATTAGACCGCTCGGTCCCACGTTGGGCTGCACAAAAACCAACCACAAAAATTCATAGTAAAATTAAATCAGCGCAATGAATTTCATTTAACTGGAAGACAACGCGACGCTACAAGGAAGACGGTAAAGAAGTTAATTTTCAAGTTCTCAGAGGGGCGGAATTGTTTCAGTATAAATGTCGGGCTCGGGTTCAGCCCAACCTGAGAGCAATAACGGCTGTGTTAGCGGAGACCTGTTTTAATAACGATATTTTACACGTTATTTTACAATGATGCTTTTGGGAAGTTAGATATTGTGTTCAGGTTTAAATTTCGTTGTACTGCGGCAACGTAAATGTTTTTACATTTGCATAATTTGTATACCTTTGAGGTTTTTTGCAGAACAAATGTTATTCCGGCAAATATCGAGTGAAATTCAATGTCTAAAAGAGACTATTTTTAGCGTTATAAAATATGTCACAAAGAGAGTACAGACAAATACAGACGACGCGTACTTTCACATAAATCACTGACCTAATCCTGAAATACCGGAGCCTTTGTGGACTTTTTGTATCCTTTAAAAACACGCGTTTTAAAAACCGTTAGAAAATGTTAGGTACTGGCTGTAAATCAATCAGCTGTTTTCTCCATTCTAAATTCAAATCTGCGTGGAGCGCGAACAGCGTGAGATTGGCGCCATTTTTCAATGTTGGTGGGCCGCCACCGCGCGCTGACTCGACCTTTCACCTCTGTGGACGCGAGCAGCTGCTGCTATACGACTGTATGCTCACACTACGTTTCTCTGGCAGTCTAATTCAGGATATGCTGTTGGAGTTGAGGCATAATAAACAATAATATCATTTTATTAACTGTTTTTGCAAACCATCGTAACACATTATGAAATAATTTCCGTGTGGACATTTTACTGATATCCTCTATAAACATTATAAAGCTTTGTTGCGGCTGTCAAAATGTCGACACTGATCCTGTGCACGAACAATCTACCAGCGGAATATACAGTATACTAGAATATATTATACGTTCACACAGTGTTTATGAGTGGGTTCTTTTGTAATTGAATAAGTTGATACAATTTATGTTTGTAATTTGTAAAAAATAAAAGTATACGCGTCGAGCGTACTCATAGACTAGAGGCGGCGCGCGGCATTCCACTCCAGGTCGGCCATTATTATTCCCTGAGCGTGTTCCGTTACACGCACTAAACAGTATCGTGTTCACTTTATAAGCTTCGTAAAGCGGCTGCTTCAGGAAAATGCTATAACACTCAACTTTTAACTTAATATTTGCGGCTTCAGCTGTTATTAAGTGAACACTCTAACTTTTACAAACAACGATACAATTTAGGATGGTAAAACATTTACGTGAAATATTAGAGACAGTAGTGCATGTGGATTGAATAGTCTAATGCAGCCGAAACACGTACCGAATAAATTGAAAATATATTATAATATTTGTTTTAATAATAATTTATGATTATTTTGTTTGTTTGATGTTCTTATACTTAGATATACCATCAAACAAATTCATGTATGTAGATTTACACTAGTACAGCTCAAAATATTGTACTTTATCTACATGCCAATATATTCTATGACTGATACAATTTGTTTTTACCTCAAACGCATTATACTTTATATTCAGATTCTCCAGGAAGGCTACAGGCTATCTGCGACTAAGGCACGGCACTAACAGCGGAGCGCGAGCGAAACTGCGGAACTCTGCTAGTCGTTAACTATTTAGATAAGATTAACTGCCGAACACTGACGCGCTATAAAATGCTAAGTGACATTTCTTGCTGTCATTTAAAGATAGTATTATTTTCAGGCTTCAATTTCTTTAGTGTAAGTGTACAACATTAGTGGCTTAGTCAGCATCATCATTATCTTCATCAGTAGCCCCCTTTTGTCCACTGCTGGACATAACCCGCCACTGACCTCGAGAATCAGCTCTTCCTCCAACTACGGCCAAGTTTTCCATATGCTGCCCAGCCAAGCTGTATCCTTCTACATACTTTCCTTCCCAAGTTGTTGTTCCTGAGAGATGAAACTTTATATCTTGACAAAAACTAATATAGTCTTCATTACCAATACTCCACAATAATATCTTAATCTCTTCATTGTCCTCTGTAATCCAATATTCATCTTGGAGTCCATGGAAGTTCCAAAAACAGTCGGCCATACGGATATCTGTTACAAGGGAAGTAAGTTAGTAAGAAATCTTCAACTTTGTTATCTTCAAGTTAATTTCTTCTTAATGTTCGCGAAATCTTATAATAATTCAGACGGTTTATGTTCCACTCGCTAAAGTAAATTATTGTTGGACTCGTAAACATTGGGCCTCGTGTTTTTATTTCACGTTTTGACTGCCTTTTGTCTTGTTTTAACGAAATTATATTATTAATGCTAACTTCGTTTACTAATTGAACAGAGAATAATATATTTTTAAGGTCCTTAAATAATGATATGGTTTCTTAAACGTGTAAATATTTTTTTACTATACTCTTTCACATACTTTCTTCAGAATATTCCTTTGCTAATATAAATTAGTTGAGTTATTAAATACATTATCACAGTATAAAGATTTACATCATCATTATTTAAAATCACGTGCACTATCGCTCAGTAAATAGGCGTAGAATTAGCGCTTGGATTATACATGGAACACAAACAACATAATAACTGGGATTCAATAACTAAAACATTGCACCTGGATATCCGGCCAGTGTGCACGCTGCGCTCATTTAATTACCCAATCGTGTATCCATACCTAAGCCGATATTAAAACCACCAATTTGAAAATAGCATTTCATTAATATGCACACTTATTAATTACTTGTGTGTTTGTACGTATTGCCGGCTCTAATAAATTGTTTGGTTAGTTTTGTAATTATTTGTATTAATAACGACGTATAAATGTAACCAACGTCATAAGTAATAACAGTGAAATAATAGAGGATAATTTACCTTACTTTAAATAAGTTGCAATTGTACTGAAGCTACTTCGTTCACAAAAATAAGAGTCTCCTGGGAAATGTTACGTGTAGTTCCCTGAGAGTGCACGAGGTGGCGCGAGTGCCGTCAGTCGCCGTACGTGGCTCACGTGAGCTCGTTAGTTCCGGTAAATCGACACTCGCATTAATTAATAGCAGCGTTGTTTCCATCGACGATGGGCGAGGAATTATCTGGCTTGCGCCGGAATCCCGAAATGTGGCGAGTTCGGGAATTACTGCACTCCACTACTGTTTCTGTTTACTTCTGATTGCTGGAAGCTAAACGTTTTGTGGCCTTTTCAGCCATTTTCTTTAACAAACAAAATTTCTGTAAGCTTTAATCAGAATTTTGTTTTCAGTAGTTTGTTTTGTTTATTTGCATGGAAATATTTAGCTTCATTAATAGACATTTTGTTATATTCCGTAAGTCGTTTGTTGTGACGCTCAATTAGTTCCTCTTTTTCGTCGTCGGTTCCCCACAAAAATATATAGAAAAAATACTGAAAGAATAATATTGATACTTTGAGTTAGATATTATAAAATTCATATCATACAAAAGTTTCACAGTTAATTTTGAGATCAATAACTGTAGATAGACGATCTGAAAGATTTATAGCGGGCGAGATAACTTAGGCGTCATACGGTGATAACATTTGGGAGGGTTCTAAACTACGGAGGCAAAAATTTTGTCAAACTTGTTTTTGGAAACTCATCTTTAAAACATATCAATTTATAACAAAAGTGTTAACAATTTGCTTGGCTCGAATATTACAGCTAATGTGCTAAGATGATGAGTGCGTGAGTCCACGGTCGCCAGTGATCCGTCACGAGCGTGACATGCGGTGCGTGCCGCCGTGACGGTAACACGACAAATTGACATAAGCAGATTACATTACCTGCGCATTACGACGTGTGAGGCGCGCAGCACATGTACCACAAGACATGTAACGCTACTTTTTCTCATAATTGTGTATGTGTGTGTTTGAAGTCAAGTTTCTTAAACACTGTAATACTTGTGACAGCCTTCTAGATTTAATTTTACTTAACAGTGCAACATTTTTAAACCTTTTACTTTTGTACTAATTTGGGTCTACTATTTATACATTTAAATATCCTGTATTATTTTTATTGATTCTTACTTCAGTAGTTTGATTGGGTTCTCAATGACTGCGGTGTATCACATTCTGACTGTATGTTTTGTGTTCCACAGGAGACACAATATGCCCGAGTGGCATGTTCAGGTGTCCGGAGGGCAAGTGCATACCCGCCCTTTGGGTGTGCAACTACCAGCGCGACTGCGAGAAGGGCGAGGATGAGTTCCAGTCTTGTCGTGAGTACACTGCCTTATTATAATAGTGTATGGAGGAAACTTGGGCCAAAAAACTTTTGTCAGAACTAGCTGAAAATATAAAAGATTTTTGAAGGCATTTGAATTCTGTTTTCTGAAATTATATGTAATAATATTTATTCCCTTTGTATCACCAATACGCAGAAGTACCATATTGTTTCTTCTCACTACTCCAAAGTCGTACACGTGTTTCAAGTAAGGAGCACGTTCCAACGAGCGCTTGATACCAATTCTAGGTAACACGCCCCCAGGTTATAAAAACACATGAATTCAGCACTGCACAGGAACGTGATTTTTACGTGATTTTCTTCTAAATACAGATGTACTAAGTAAAGTAATTGTTCAATCTAAAAAGCTGCCACTGCAACCTGCAATGCTCAGAAATATAACACAGAAGTAAAACCGCAGATAACTATTCAATTATAAAATGTAAACATGTTTCAAATTGAATACAACAACACGTGGAGAGCACAGTTTAACTAATTGAATCGTCACAGCTGAATACAATTACCGTGAAACTACTAACTGCTTTACATCTGATAGGAAACACAAAGACATGTACAGTACATATGTACTCGTTAACACGTCACTGACTACCTCCATAGTCACGCTGCACGAAATTAATGTGCGCTGGGAGTCGGCAGCGTGACATGACAAACTTTCGTCTGTATTACTATATTAGGTATTTAGTTATTATTAATGCTTTTCTTATAACTAGATAAGTCATACTAATATTATAAATCGTTAGTTAAAGAGACTTTTTATCAACTATCAAGCGGAGACAGGCGCGGGTGGAAGCTACTTTTAAAATATTGGTAAGCTAACGTCAATGTTAAAATCGTAGTCTAATTTGTGAATGTTTGTTACGATGCAAACCAAAAGATTTTGTAGACGATTTTAAACTGATAATATGAAATACGAAATGTGAATAGGTATTTCCACTTAACTGGTTCGTGCATTAGTATGTAATTATACGATTTGAATGATTAATGCTGGAATTAATCAGTTCCGGCACGAATATTTGCGTGTCACCGGCGTGACAGCAGCCGGTCGCTGCTCTTGTCTAGGCTAATGTTACAACTTCATACTGAATTCAAAGCTCTGTATAACCTACTAGCTTTCCAGACGCGGTTTCACTCGCGTGGTCAAATAAGAAAAGAAACCTACATCGCTCTCAAACCTTCCAACATGGTATCTGAACACTGTATTGTAACTTAAAAGATAGCGAAATTAATACCTATTCAATAAGTGAGAAAATATTCATACGAAAAACGTTAGATATTATCAAAAACTGCAGCAGTTAAGTTATATACATATATACATTTTCGCGTTCTAAAAAAGCAAATAACAGACTATACAAACAAACAACATACGAGTTACGTTCGTTTTGGAATATCGAATGTGTATAGACGGGAGTGTGTGTACTCTTGTACAGCAGTCATTCACGCCATTAATAATCACGCTGTTAGAGCAGAGCTGTGTCACGCTGCACGCTGCGTATTAATTCCCGTCACGATCACTCGCGTGCTGTGGACGTGCAGCCGAATTGTTGCACTGTTTGTTAGAACCGATGGAAAACACACAATGTCTGTATGTCTGTGTGTATGTGTTAAATGAGTTAATATGGCCGGCTAAGTAAATAATGAGCACATTCGTGAACATGCTGCAACTTCATTAAGTTGGAACTGCAACATGGGAATACTGCTTAACGCCAATATTAGCAACACAATGGCAATTAAAAAAATAACTATATAATTTAGTTAAAAGCACTACCATTAATTTAATGTAAAGTTTAAGCCAATTACTGATGGCACTAATCAACGTTTCACTGCGGAGCTAGTGATGTGCAGCGCGCTGGCCGCCATCCATCGCGTAGCCTCTCGTCACCGAGGCCACTACATCCCCCTACATTTATAACAACACAGCTGACATTTTTCATCCGGCTGCCTTTTGTCGCCGTTCGACAAAGACCCGGGGATATGCTTTGGGCGCACCGAGTGGGGATGTCTCAATGGCGTTGCTCTCAGATCACACGTCATAAAGTAATGTCGACACTTTGATGTTAGAGGAATGATTATTGAGACGAGCACCGAGTTATCTGCTGTACATACACGCATTTTTGCTTTTGATTTGGAATGTTGTTCGACATTAAACTGTAACTGTGATATAGTAGCGTAGTTTTGCATGCGTTTTTTAGCTTAAATTATAGGTATGAATATATGTTTGCGAAGTTAAACCTTGCAACTAAATTGTTAAGCTATTTTGTTCAATTGGCTTTGGACTTCTATACCCACATAACAATTGTTGTTTTACTCATTTAGTGGAAGTGTAACATTTACATTGAGACGCATACCTATTTTTTTAATTGATCAATCTACTCACAATATAATGTAAAGGCAATTAATTGGTATTAAACTTAACTTTCTTCGCCCACCATTAAGACTGAGAAGTCTGATTGCCTAGATCTATCTAGTTCGTGGTCGCCGCACTCCGATATATTTTGCTCACAGTTTTTCACGCTGGTGTCGCTACCAGTGACTCGCGCGAGTGGCTCCCTCTACAATGGATGGACGACAATTATCTCAGCTGGTTTATAGTTGTTCGTGTTAGATAAATGGTTAGTGGACTCGATTCAGACTTACAACTAATAAAAATGATATTGCCCTGGTTTCTGTCTTACGAAATAATGTACCAATGCTCAATTTTATGTTATACTATATTTAAGTACAACATAATATGTTTGACAAATAGCCTGCAACTATTGTACAGCTAAGTGGGCGCCAGATCTTTATAAAATAACAACTGAGCACTAGTACCTCTATCAATCTCCAATTCAGCTATTTTAAAATTTGTACAAAGGCAACTATTTCCCGCGCCATTGTTGCCAACCTTAGGATTTGGCGTAGGATGAGGATATCAACATTAAGTGGCCGACATTTGGGCATTTGGCTGCATAAGGAGGTGGACGTGAGCCAGCGCAGATCTCTATCGGAAACAATTTAAAATAAATCACATATTTACGAGAAACGAGATAACTACGTATTTATGTGGCGCACAGTCGCCATTGTTGCATCTCTGTACTTATATCAATGCGTAAATTTGAATAAGAGAAAAATCAGCACAATCTCAATAGTTAAGAACATTGTAAAAGTCATAAATGTTATTATGATTCGAGGTTAAAAGCAGCATGGTGTAATAATTGGCCATTAATGGTCAGACACAGTCGCAATAAACGGTCGCGATGATTGTTCCGACTCAATCAATCAGCGTCGCGCGACGTACAGCGAGGGACGCACTCGACAGAAATAATTGTCGGCAAGTCTAAGGATTGCTGTTCATTACCGACTTATCTTAATGTTCACTGAATCAGTTATCTTCTAATTATTATCTTATTTATAATAGCATAAATTCTTGTTGCTTCCAAGATTAGATCTTAGGTCTTTTTTAACTTAATATTACAAAAAATTGCGTACTATGTTCACGTCTATAGAATACATGTAAAGAAAAATACATTACTTTTTCTTTAGGATTTAATTATTATTTTAATGTTGTTATTATTTTCTTTTTTATGTCTATAGAGTTTTTATATTAATGTGATGATAATAAACCTCCGTGGTTTAGTTCATGTTAAAAAGAAGAAATATTTTGACAAGTCATTTATGTAATTGTTTTCTGTTAAAAAATTGTAAAAAATAAATATATGTTAAAATAGATATAATTAATATTGTGAAGAAATAAACTTTTAAAGTCGTTTTATAATACGGAAACTTTTTCTTTAATAGGAATAAATAAAATAAACTTGTGTTGCTTTGTTACCAAAGAAACGACTTTAAAAGTTTATTTCTTCACAATATTAATTATATCTATTTTAACATATGAAGAAATAAACTTTTAAAGTCGTTTTATAATACGGAAACTTTTTCTTTAATAGGAATAAATAAAATAAACTTGTGTTGCTTTGTTACCAAAGAAACGACTTTAAAAGTTTATTTCTTCACAATATTAATTATATCTATTTTAACATATATTTATTTTTTACAATTTTTTAACAGAAAACAATTACATAAATGACTTGTCAAAATATTTCTTCTTTTTAACATGAACTAAACCACGGAGGTTTATTATCATCACATTAATATAAAAACTCTATAGACATAAAAAAGAAAATAATAACAACATTAAAATAATAATTAAATCCTAAAGAAAAAGTAATGTATTTTTCTTTACATACATATTCTGCTATCAGAAAAAACAACATGTAATAATATACCACCCATATAATTTGTCGCAATATTTAGCGAGTACGGTGTCGGCAATCGCTCATGAACAGCAAGTTTTCCTTGTTAGTGCATGTGAGTAATGGCGGTGCAGTTTTTCGCGTCCATCTGTAGATTTCCCGGGTGAACGGATAGTTGACTACAGAGCCGGCAGTTAGTTAACTACCGCTGACACGAAACATACGTCATTGTAGCACTTTTATTACAACTTGCAAAGAAAAACAACGTGTGTGTGTAAACTAAAATATAAGAACTTATTCTAAATTATGATATACGGAACTCCACTACTATAACATACGTATTTCAGTATATTCCGCACTATCCCTAAACGTTTTACTAAGAAATGTAACGCGGTAATATACGCCTCGCATGCTGAGCACGCGTAGCACCCTCGTAGCACGCTCGTAGCGCTCGTAGCAAACGTCGTAGAGATAACGCTCCGATCGCGTAGCCCGCCCGCGCCCGCCCGATTCGAACTTTACGATCAGCTGGTCTAACTTAGCAAGATTTACTTAGAAAATGGAGTAATAGTCATGAAAATCTCAAATTTTGCAATATATTAAACCAGTGTCTCTATGGATAGACAGATAACAGTTCCCACTGAGGCGACAATTTGATTATTTTGCAGCGACTGTTATTTAATCTTATGAGTCGTGGCTTGGTCACGTAACGTCATTGTGTGCAGCGTAACTGTATGTGTGTATGTGAAGTGCGGAACATACACAGTCTACTGTTGTGTGCAGCTTGTCAGTCTGTAATTAAATATGCTTTTGTGTGTGTAATTGAAATTTAAATTGACTATTTAACATTTAACTGCCGTTATTAGTTTTAGGAATATTAAATGTAGGTAATTGTGAAATGATTTTAAGTCAACTCCATCGTTTTGTTCATTTATATAGTGAATAGCTTCATTAAAATACCATTATAATAATGTGTTTTAATGAAGCACAATATTTGTATTCAGTCGGGCAGCAGTACTGCACGTTGTTACAGCTGGCAAAATATCAGTTACATTGTTGAAATTAAAGATTGTGTCCTAATATATATCCACTTAACGAGAAAAAAACAAAATGTATTAAATTTAGCTTGCCCAACGTACACAGTAATGATTGTAGCATAATTTTAAATGGGCAAAAGTTAGAATTTGTCAACGAGACAGTGTTTCTAGGTATCACACTAGACAATAGACTTCAATGGGGTTCCCACATAAAGACGCTTTCGGGGAGACTAAGCTCTGCTGTTTTTGCAGTTAGACAGATAAGACAGCTCACAGACGTGAACACAGCAAGGCTTGTCTATTTTAGCTATTTTCACAGCATTATGTCATACGGAATTTTGCTGTGGGGTCGAGCTGCGGAAGTAGAATCAATATTTATTCTACAAAAGCGGGCTATCCGAGCGATATATAACTTGCCCCGTCGCTAATCTCTGAGAGAACTATTTAAAACGATAAATATCCTGACGGTGCCTTGTCAGTTTATATATGAAAATATTATGTACGTAAGGAAAAATTTGCAATTATTTGAAAAAAGAAGCAATAGACATAATTTTAATACAAGAGGCAAAGATAGGCTGGCTGTGCCACGATTCCGTCTGTCCAAGGTACAGAAATCCTTTATGGGGTTCTGTGTAAATTGTTACAATAAAATTCCAAGTACTGTATTGAATCTTAACGAACGAAAATTTAAAACTTATATTAAACGTGAATTGTGTAGACAGGCATACTACAAACTTTCAGATTATATTGAGGATAAGAATGCCTGGCAGCGTGTTGATTCGGCTCCACTGGACAATACTCAAATATAGTCAGCAGTTAGGTAAAATTCTCAAAAATAATGCATCCTTAATTTATATATCCAAAAAGTTTATATAGAAGCACTCTTAAAGATTGTGAGTACGCATATGTGAGCGCCATGTTCGAGACGACAAAGGGGTAGAATTTTGTGATAGGGGGACCTATCATAGAATTTTCATTCATTTGTTCTTTTTTTTAACAACTTGTCTCTGCATTGTTCTCACATAAGGGTACACTAATGTATACTATAAATGTTATATTATTGAAATTGTAAAACAATTTTTTTTTAAAAAAAGAGTAACGAATGGAGTTTCTTGCTCGTTTTTCTCCATTCGAATCTACAATTTGGAATGAGCACCTAGCTTCACTGACGAACGGACTGACGGACTGCTTTTCTGTTTTGACGTTTCAAAAGTACCTATTGATGGTTTAGTTGGAATAAATGATTTTGACTTTGACTTTGACTTTGAATACATGTATGACATTCGCATATCGAATCATTAAAACTGATAGAATACAGTATACATATTTATACGTGTATAGCTATATTGAAGAGAGACAGAATCCTCACAATACAATAATGGCGGCTCATTCCAATACAAGCGCTCCAATCAAACTATTTGAGCGTTTGAGCGTAAACTCGATTTGCACCTCGGCCTCAATTATAGCGAGGCCGCACTGTCTCGGGAACACTCCGGGAACGTCTCGGGAACGCCTTGGAAACTTTCCTCTAATAATGAACCGAGAATAAGTATTTAATACGTTTTTATGTAGTAACTTGCTCAATTATACGCTTACTGAAAACAATTACAAAATATAAGTAGTGTCACACGTTTTTGCCACGTATATACATTTGTTTATATTCATCACTTTCTTTCCTTATATTGATTTCTTTCTACTGCATTTCCTGTTCAAGGAAAATGTACATAAAGCTGAATTTCCCTTTCTTCCCAACGTGTCAGCATCTCGATTCACGCGGCGCTCATTGCTGGCGCCTTCGTCTAATCACTGGATTGATTTCATTACAATTTGTAACCTTTGTGAGGAAGTCATCTTGAGAATTGTAGGTTGCCGTCGCTAAAGCATTGAAGGATTTTTGTCAGTTTGTTTCTTGTTTCCTCCATACTTAACTCTTTCAGAATGAGATAAGTTCTGTGCTTCAGGGAATGAAACTAAATAACTTTGCTATTGCACTTCTGAAAAATCAATAAGAAAATATTGACCCGTTACATATTACAGAGAGATTCAGTCACCTTGTTTGTTTTCAATTTCATATCCTGGATTAGCAACAGCTAGATCTGACTGTTATTCTATTAAACTTTGTATATTGTTTATTGTGATTTTTGTTGTTTATTGTCCCCAGCGCCGCCGGAGTGCGAGGCGGGGCAGCTGACTTGCGGACAGTACGTGTGGAACAAGACGTACTGCATCCCACCGCACTACCGCTGTGACATGCAGGTGGACTGCGTCGACGGCACCGACGAGGCAGACTGCAGTGAGTACACTCTATCTATAGCTCCATGTTATAATAGTAAGACTATTACCAAATACTATTCCAATATTAATCTTAAGAATTTTAGTCTAATCACTGTGCTTAGCGTTAGCTTTGCACGGATGTCATGCTGACACTAAATATCTCTTATACATATTATTATAGGTATAAACCATTTTTATCACTCTATCTATAAACAAACGATCCTTTGCATTTTAAAGATTAAAGGATACATACAGATATAGGAATAGACACAAATCGACTTTGTTTTATACTATGTAGTGACGACAAATTTATATTTCGCTTGCGAATTACAGTCGCCGATCAGATTAAACCAGAATTTGTGATAATGAGCTCATTCGGACTGCAACATGTTATTATAAAATCAAGCAGGATTCTCTGCGAATCCAGTAAAACTATATTAAACTCAGTGCATACACAAAGCCAATGTTGCAGAACTTTAAACAAATTGAGATCAAAAACACAATAAACTTGTCTCATAACACGGTACACATGCTTACATATACATACATATTGTATTATAATATTGTTACGTTCCTGACGTCACGTTCCTGACTATGCGGGCTTGGGTTACGGGATTGGATGAAATGAAACACTAATACCGGTTTTCAGACTTTCTATTGCACTTAAGTTACAGCGTCCACGGAGTTAAGTTATCGGCGTTCTTCTCCAGCAGAGTCCGGCCGACTGACACAACTTTGCCGTTCACGCTGACTTAACTCACTTAACTGACTGCACTTCACTATCTCACTGCACTTCACTATTTCACTCACTTTTCTTCTTTTCCACTTCTTCCTCTTCTTCCGAATCGCTTTAGACTTAGAACTCAACTGCCAGCGGTGAGCCGCAGTTCCGCTTATATACCCCCGGTCAGGTTCTAGAACATTCAATTTCGTTATTCTTTTTGATCGTCATGCCTCCAGAACCTTCCAATAATTTCGTTATTCATTTTTATTTATTCTCCTTCTCGCTCCTTAATTTTTCATTTCTTTCACTCAAATAATTCCAGAAAGTTCGACAAAACTTCCATCAACTAAAAAACTTCATGTTTACGGCGGGACTCGAACTCGGGGTCTCTGTGGTGTAATCCACACGCCTTACCGATTACACCAACTCGTGTTGACAATTCACGACGAAATTTACAATCTCTAGGCAACGTTTGACAACCATCCCTTGACGTCATGATGTCAAAGAGTTTTCCGTCACACTGCCCCCCTCTTAGATTCGCTCGTCCCGAGCATCGTTGCTGCCGTAATACCTCGCCAACCTGTCTATATGGACAACTTTCAAAGGGCTCCTTGAAGTCTTCCGAATTCTGTAAGTAATGTCATTGATCTTCGTGACTATCTCATAAGGACCTTCCCAACTCGGTTGCAGCTTCGGAGATTTTCCCTTCCTTCTGACTGGATTATGAAGCCAGACCAATGACCCTTCTTCAAACCCAACAGAATTGGCTCGTCGATCATAGCGCGTCTTTGCGCGATCACTAGCTTGAAGACCGGCCTCCCTGATCTGCTCATAAATGTCCAACATTTTTGCCCTTAACTCGCTTATGTAATCGCTAAATTCGGTGCGAGAGTCGCCAGGTGGACAGCCCGATACAAGATCTGCCGGTAATCTCAATTCCCTTCCAAAATTTGCAAATGCAGGCGTCTTTGCGGTACTTTCATGTACAGCAGTCCGATAGGCAAGCAAGAAGAGAGGTATGTAAGTGTCCCAATCTCTCTGATGGCTGTCAACCACCTTTGCTAAGTGTCGTTCCAATGTTTGGTTGAAACGTTCGACCATTCCATCTGACTGTGGATGATAAGGAGTCGTTCGAGTCTTATGGATTCCCAAAAGTTTACAAGTTTCCTGAAAAACTTGGGACTCAAAGTTCCGTCCTTGATCACTGTGCATCTCCAAGGGCACTCCAAATCGGGTGAATACCTCGTTTACCAACTTCGTGGCTACAGTTACTGCCTCTTGATTCGGTATGGCAAAGACCTCTGGCCATTTTGTAAAATAATCCATAACCACTAAAACGTAGCGATTGCCCGAATCAGTGATTGGAAATGGTCCAGCGATGTCTAAGGCTATTCTCTCCCAAGGCATACCAACATTGTAGATTTTCATCGCCCCTCTGCTTCTTGTTTGTGGACCCTTGACAGCTGCACAACTAGTGCATTTCCGGCACCAATCTTCGACGTCATATTTGCAATGCAACCAATAAAACCTCTCCTTGATCTTCACCAAAGTCCTCCTAATTCCCAAATGTCCTCCAGAAGATCCATCATGGAACGCTTTTAATACATCCCTTATTTTTGAACGAGGCACCACCAATTGCAAATGCTCGTCCTTGCCGTTTGTTGATTCCCATTTCCTGCACAGAAGTCCGTTATGCAGCGTAAGGCTTTTCCACTGTGCCCATAAACCTTTCGTTACCGCGCTATATTGGGCGACGTCACTCCAACTTGGCTTGTTACCACTTCGTAGCCACTCCAGTATTGGTTTGATATCCGCATCTCTTTCCTGTTCTAATTTCATCGCATCATCTCCCCATGCCTCGTCAACAGTATCAGTCCTTATCACCTTAAGAAAAGCAATTTCCTTCTTGGCACAATGCTTGCAATCTTCCACGCATGGGCGTCTCGATAATGCATCTGCGTTGCCATGAATTCTTCCGCCGCGATGTTCGATTTCAAAGTCAAATTCCTGAAGTTGTTCCAACCATCTGGCTACTTGGCCTTCAGGATCCTTAAACTGAAGCAGCCATTTCAAAGCAGCGTGATCAGTTCTGATTAAAAATTTCCGTCCCAGTAAATACTTCTTGAAATGGTGCAGAGTTTTGACTACGGCCAGTAATTCCCTCCTGGTCACGCAATAATTCCTCTCCGGCTTGGATAGTGACTTGCTGAAGTAAGCAATAACCTTCTCCTGCTCACCATCGCGTTGTGAAAGGACACCTCCTATTCCGATATTACTGGCGTCCGTATCAACTACGAATATTCCTTTCGCGCTGGGGTATCCGAGAATTGGCGTTTTACAAAGCCGTTCTTTTAGTTCGCGAAAAGCTTGCTCACAATCCTCGTCCCATATAAAGGCACGTTTCTCCTCTGTCAATCGATGCAATGGCTTGGCAATGTCCGAGAATCCTTTCACAAACCGCCGATAATACGAGCATAATCCAAGAAATGCCCGAACTTGCGTTTTGTCTTTAGGTGTTGGCCATTCCTTAACAGCGGCAGTCTTGGCTGGATCAGTCTCAATTCCTCTCTCAGAAATAACATGTCCTAGATAATTCACTTCGCGCTTAAAGAAAGAGCATTTCTTTGGACTCAACTTTAAATTTGCTCCACGCAGCTTTTCGAGTACCCTTTCCAATTTTCTTAGATGATCGTCAAAATCCCGTCCAACGATGATGATGTCATCGAGGTAAACTAGGCAGGTTTCGCCCAGCAGTCCCGCCAGCACCTGTTCCATCAAACGCTCAAAGGTTGCCGGTGCATTGCATAATCCAAATGGCATCACCTTAAATTGCCAGAGTCCCTTCCCAGTTGAGAATGCGGTCTTTTCCTTGTCCTTGGGATCCAAATCCACCTGCCAATAGCCGCTTTTCAGATCGAGCGTTGAAAACCATTTCATGCCACTCAGTGTGTCAAGTGTGTCATCGATTCTTGGTAACGGGTAGCTATCCTTCTTGGTTACATCATTCAATCGTCGATAGTCTACGCAAAACCTCGTTGAACCATCTTTCTTCTTGACAAGCACGACAGGTGAACACCAAGGGCTAGAAGAGGGCTCTATCACGTCATTTTTCCTCATATCGTCAATCATTTGTTCAACCTCTTTCTCACGAGCGAATGGTATACGTCTGGGCCTTTGACGAATTGGCATTGTATCACCTGTATTTATTTTATGCTTCACTAAACCAGTTCGGCCAATATCACCATCGCTTTTTGAAAACACATCAGAGAATCGAAGGAGTAAATTTCTAGCTTTCATAGTCTCCACTTTTGTCAGACTTTTGTTTTCGTCTAAGATTTTCGTTACAAAGTCTATTCCCGTACTGTCCTTCTTCACAAGATTCTCCGAGCATTTTCTTATCCAGGCCACTTCTTCCAAAACGCCCACAGGCTCTCCTTCTTCAATCGTAATTTTTGAATCACTGAAGTTGAATACCGGAATGCGGTTGACATCAGATGACCCCACGACAGTCCTTGCCGGTAGCCATGAGTTTACGTGTTCCGATTTATCAATCACAGCGCACCTTCGAGGTAAACTTCCTTCACTCCTCCTAGGTAATGCGATTGGTACGAGAGTCTGTGATTTTGGTTCAAGAACAGTTCTTCTTAAACAGCAAACTTTTCCCAGGGTTCCACCCTTCATCGGAATTTCCTCAGTTCCACATAGTAATACTCCAGATTTTAAGTCGATGTTACACTGGTGCCCTTGCAGGAAGTCAAGTCCCAGGATGCAGTCATCCAGAATTTTGGCCACAATAACCTCATGTCGATAAACACGTTCCCCAATTTTGATTGTTACGTGCAGTTTTCCACTTATCGGTATCCACTGGCCGGTAGCTGATTTCATTCGTAGGCCAACAATTGGTTTAACGTGTTTCCTGATGTTTTGCCCGAGCAGCCGAACATTTATCACCGTCCTTGAAGCTCCAGTATCTAATGTTAGCTGACTGTTTTTTCCCATTTACTTGACCGTCTATCACCAGAGTATTTCCATCGTTAGTTTGCTTGATGTAGATTGTTGGGGTTATTCCACTACCGGCCAGCGCCCACCCCGCAGCCCTGGCTGGAATTAGTTTCCCTGCTGGTCAGAAGTTGAGACCGCCGCGTCCTGGCAGTTCACCTTCTTCGGGCAGTTGCTCCGCATGTGCCCACGCTCTCCGCATCCATAGCACATGAAGTTCCGACGGCGTGGAGGTACCTGCTCCGTTGTCGTCATTTCCCGCAGACGTAAGGTACGGGAGTTGCCACGCACGGCTT